TGGTGGAGTAGGAAGGAACTTGAGTTTGGGGGTTGTAGTTCACCTACATCCAGAGAGCACTGTGGACTCAAACAATGATGGATCTGGACCAAATTTGGCACGAATATTCCATATGCCCAAATATGAACACAGATGGAGTTTGGGGGAAATAGACCTTGACATTTGGGATTTGTAGTGACTGGGCTTTATAGTTCACCTACAATCAAAGAGCATTCTGAACCCCACCGACAACAGAATTGAGGCAAATTTCCCACACAGAACCCCCATGACCAGAAAATACTTAAGGCCATCCAGTCCAGCTCTCTTCACCAGGGCAAGAAAATGTAATCAAAGCCCTCCTGACAATGTAATCAAAGCCCTCCTCCAGTCATAAATATAGATAGATATGATTCACACACACACAGATATAGTATCATAGATTTGAAAAGGACCCCTAAAAAAGGACAATTATATGTCACATATTTCAGAGTAGGTAAACCAGACACTCTCCACATCAACACTGATAAAGTAACAACAAGAAATTCTGTTTACTCACAAGCATAAAGAAATTACATATATTAGAAACTAACACTTTCTCATTACTTTCTTTTCCAGATCACCAGACTGGGCCACAGCAACGCCTGGCAGGGGATAGCTAGTAATACAATAGATAGAATAGCAGCATTTTGCAAGTTCTCCTAAGTCATCCCTCCTCCTAATTCATCCCCCCTTCCATTGTAAGACGCAGCCGTACAAGGGCCAGACAAATAGTACAGCTCAAAGGAACACTTTGGCTTCCTCAACCATGGCCTGCTTTTCCAGGATGATGGCCTACTCGCAAGGGATGGGATGACATCTCACTCAAGCAGGAAAACACCTTTTTGCTCACAGACTCGCAAACCTCATCAGGCGCACTTTAAACTAGGTCCACCGGAGGAGAAGACAAAAAAAGCCTTGAGAACAGTACTTTATCCACAATCACAGGAAACTGCCAAAGGGCTAAATGGAAGATGGCACAAATACAACAAGGACCAAGTACCGAGAGCACAATAATCCCAAATAAACAGCTCTGGGAAGGCCCAGGGGATTACATGTCTTTACACTAATGCACACAGCATGGGAAATAAACAAAAAGAACTCCAACTTTTAGCACACCACCACAAATATGATGTCATAGGCATCACGGAAACCTGGTGGGATGACTCCTATCACTGGAATGTAGCCACCGAGGGCTATAATCTCTTTCACAGAAACAGAACAAAGGGGAGAGGAGGGGAAATAGCTTTACATGTCAAAAACAGTTACGCCACAGAAGAGATGCAAGAATTCAATCCAGGAAAACAGCTTGAAAGCATCTGGATAAGAATCAAGGGATCCGGGACTCAAAAAGTTGTCATCGTGGGTGTCTACTACAGACCTCCAAGCCAGGATGAAGACTCGACAAAGCCTTCTGTCAACAGTTGACCAAACTGGCACAAAGAAGGGATATAACAGTCATGGACAATTTCAACTATCCTGATATCTGCTGGAAAACTAACTCAGCCAAGAATACAAAGTCCAACTAAGGTAACTACTAAAGAACCATTCATGACGTCAACATCAGGCCATTTGTAGCCTCCTTCAGGTAAATATACCTAAGACATTACTATGGGTTCAAAGTCAACCTGTAAATAGAGGCAGAGAATAGCTAAAATGAACTGACATCCATAATCTCCGGGAAATCGAATCAAGGAGCATCCAACTTCAGATATTACTGGTGTCAAATTAGGTGATGCCCCCTTATCTTACAGCAGATAGCCAAAGATTCACTTCAGGTATCACTATGGGCTTGTGAAGTTAACCACAGCAAAATTATTGTATTTTCCATTCCTTTTGAGCAACAGATACTCATCCCATGCCAGACAACCAACGGCTCTGAAAGTATCTCTCATATCCCAAAATATGTTGCCATCTTACATCAGAGTTGCATTGATAAGCACAACAGCACAGTTCTCAGAACTCTACAAACCTTCCCTCTGAGGAATCCAATGGACTACTAAGGCTATTTATTTATTTACAGTATTTATACCTTCTCACCCCACAAGGGCACTCAGGGCAGATTACAATGTACTTATACATGGCAAACATTCAATGGCATAGTCACACAACAAATATTAGACAGACACACAGAGGCCATTTAACTATCCATCTTTCATGAGGGTATTATGGCCACCAGGGGAGCTGTCGCTTCACCGTCCATTTGTGACACTGATGGAGTACTTCCTCATTCTTTTTTGCTTGCTTGCTGGAGATTTTATGGCATCATAAATTAGTTAAATTAGACTCCCCGCATAAGCGGTACCTAAATTTCCTAATTGACAGATGCAACTGTATTTCGGGCTGCAAAGGTCGACAACAAGCTACACAAAGGTTGGAAGCTCGCTCCGCCCCGGGCTGGCTTCAAACTCATGACCTTTTGGCCAGTAGTGATCTTAATGCAGCTGACTCCCAGCCAGCTGCGCCACAGTCCCAGCTAGGAAGAGAATAACCTGCCAAGGGCAACCTGATAAGCTTGAAAGCAGAGCAGGGATTTGACATAGGTACGTGTTACTATTATGACCATATATATGCCACACACATTACAGATGGATTGACTCCATAAAGGAAAAAGCAGCCCTGTGTTTGCAAGACCTGTGCAGGGATGTTGATAACATAATCTGTCAGAAGTCTTTCATTCATAAGGTCTCTATAAGGTAAACTGACTAAATGGCACATAACAACAGACATTACCTGAGCATACCTTCATTTTCTCTAATCCCTTTTTATTGCGAACGATAATATTGATTAATCTAAGACAATCTCCACGCATATTCAAAAAAAGTCCCAGCAAAATAAACCCTCCTCACTGAAGCAATTCATCATCAGCACATGCAGTCTGAAACACAATGGGCTTTTATTCTCTTTTGTTAAGAGGGACAAATTCCAACATTTCCCTTCGCAAACAAGGGAAATGTTCCGAACTGTTTATTTACTTTCTCAGACACATGAGGATGGTAAACTGGAATTCTATTCATTCACACTTTCTAAATGAGTCAGTTGCTTACAAAGTCAGCTATTCAGCACAAGCAGGACCAGAAAAGAGAGAGGGCTAATTATGCTGCTCTCATGTGTCTAACTGCAACGTGCAAATAATATGTTTGACCAGAAGAACATGGCTGAATGTGCCGAGCCATAAGACAGGTTCTGTTTTCCATGGAAAGTGAACTCATCGCAGGTGTCCAATTAAAAAAGAAATACTAGAAGCCACATGCTGCTCCTGAAAGAGGCAATTTCAGAAGAGACGGAAAAGGCAGTTGCTTAGGCTGAGGAGCCCAAAAAGGATGTCTTTCAAAAACACTCTTCCTCTCAAGCCAGTGACCCTTCTAAACTGGATCTTGTGGAAGTTATGGTCTAAAACAGCGGTTCCAACCTTTTATTGACTAGGGACCACTCTCCAACATTAGTACCAAAGGGTTACAAATCAGTTTTTGGTCAACTTTAGATTTGGTTTGGTTATTTGGGGTGCTGATTTAGAAAACTGCATTGGATAGACCACATAAGCTCTAGTTTCTAATACAGAAAGATAGGCCATCCAGTAGTCACCATTTGCTTGCCCACAGAAAACCATATTTAATAATCTAGAGCTGATGTTTTCGATCCAAGGGGTTGAACAGCACAAAAGGAGTGGAAATACCGTATCTACTCGAGTATAATCCAACCCGAATATAAGCCGAGGCACCTAATTTTACCACAAAAAACTGGGAAAATGAATTGACTCGAGTATATAAGCCGAGGGTGGGAACTGCAGCAGCTACTGGTAAATTCCAAAACAAAAATAGATACCAATAAAATTGCATTAATTGAGGCATCGGTTGGTTAAATGTTTTTGAATAAAACTGTAAGTTACGATAAGACTATCCTCTGATTGAAGCATTATTCTAACCTTCTTCAGGATATGTAAATGTGTTTACATATCCTTCCAATAATAATAGAGTAAAATAATAAATATAATAACAATAATATGGAATAAAATAATAAATGTAAATTAATAATAGAGTAAAATTATTAATGTAATAATAATAATAATAATAATAATAATAATAGAGTAAAATAATAAAAAAAAGTTGACTCGAGTATAAGCCGAGGGAGACTTTTTCAGCCTAAAAAAGGACTAAAAAACTAGGCTTATACTTGAGTATATACAGAAAATGAAATGAAATGAAATAAAATAAAATAATAAAAAGGAGGCTCATGGACCAGATTTTCATCCTCGTGTCCCACTGGTGGTCCGCAGCCCACAGGTTGAGAACCACTAGTCTAAAACATACAAATGATGGGGTGCTGGATATGGGGTGATGGGGGTCATAGGCCAATTTTCCATGGGCTACACCAGGAATGGCCAAACTTCAGGCTTCCAGGTGTTTTGGACTTCAACTCCCATAATTCCTAACTGCTTCGGGCACTTTCCTTTTCCCCCTCAGCCACTTAGTTGATAGGAAGTGACATTATATCATTTCTGGTTACCACCTTCTGAAGGACCATAGAGGGAAACAAAGACATTAGAAGGAGAACTCATTTTTGAGTTTTTCATGTATTGGTGCCAGATAACTTCTCATTTCCTTTAAATATTACTAGTCTTTGTGGCTACAGACATGCCTAGTAATGTTGCTGGCATTTAGTATTCTAATCAACTTCTTAAAAGGTCAGAAGCAGAGCTCCTAATCAGTCAGGATGTCTCATGTGACCTTGCATGCGTCATCTTCTGCCTCCGTTTTGTAACAAATCTCCATTTGGAAAAAACAACAACTGGCAACTAGGAAAATTAAAAGCAGACGTGGCAGGTTCACAAAGTAAATATGAATCTTGGGTGGAGTAAGTGGTAACAAATAGGATGCTTAAACCATTTTCCAGTGTTTGGTGAAAACCACCCTCCCAAGTGGTTCTTCTTAAACTCCTTGTACCAAAACAAATGAGAAAATGTAAGTCAGCACAGGGTCTCTCACCCATCCCTGAATCTTTCTTCGTGCCATCTGATATGATGTCCACGTGGTCGCAATCTACATCGTAACTGAAGAAGTCATTCAAGTATGTTTTCGACCTCTGCCCGCCAAACACATACAGGCAACGATTTTTCTGAAAGAAAAAGAAAAAGAGGCATCTGAGTTGACTTTAAAGCGCTCCTGCAAGAAGAGTGTGTGCAAAGTTTCTGTTTCCTGAGTAGGAACTCTCAACCCAAAGTTTCCTCTAAAATTCAGTGAAATGAACAATGGTGCAAGGGTTTGCTGAGAAACAGCCACAAATAGGAAACAGGCAAACAAAATTATGTGCACATGCTTGTCACCATGACCCATGAAGGGACATTTATAGCAACCAGACCTGGCAGACTAAAATGTCAACCAAAATTCTGAGGGCCAAATCTTCTGAGTCATGCCAGTGCTAGAGGTATAAGGAAATAGAGGAATGGGATGAATGCCAACTACCACTGCAAAAGGCACGCAGAAGGCAAAGAAGGAGTTACAGCAGGTTTAAGGTTATAGTAAATGTACCCAGTGGCGCAGCGGGTTAAACTGCTGAGCTGCTGAACTTGCTGACCAAAGGGTCAGCAGTTTGAATCCGAGGAGTGGGATGAGCTCCCGCTGGGCCGCTTCTGCCAACCTAGCAGTTTGAAAACATGCAAATGTGAGTAGATCAATAGATACTGCTCAAACAGCTCTCCATACAGTCATGCCAGCCACATGACCTTGGAGGTGTCTATGGAAAACACCAGCTCTTCGGCTTAGAAATGGAGGTGAGCATCACCCCCAAAGTCGGACACAACTAGGGAAACCTATACCTTTACTAAATATTATTTTAGATGAGCAGTTTGGTGTATTTTCTGTGAAAAACTAGAATCAATTAAAGAATGTTAGAGGTTTTTTGGGTCCTTTAACTAAATAACCAACTATTTATGTTTGAATTTAAGGGTTTCAAGCCTGGAAAACAGATGGCTCATTATTCTTAAAAAAAAAAATACACAACAACAAAAATAACACCAAACCCAAGAAAATGAAGTAATATTTGAATGTTCTAACTACACCATGTAACACAATTTTTGTTCCTGGGCTATAAATGTCATTTCCTAATTGGTTCTATCATAAAAACATGGAAAAAGTTTATTAAACTTCAAAAACATTGTTTTTGCGGTCTACACGAAAAGTTTAAAATGGCAGCCACAAAAACAAAGTTTCTGGAGAATAACAACTACTTGCAAAGTACTGCACAATTAAACAGGAAATAATATTTTAAAAATTTTGTTACATGGTGTTATTATCCCTAACATTCACAATCTTATTCTTCACAAAATCTTGTTGAAGGATCAAGTGGGGTTTGAACCCTTCTTCTCCAATGTCTTAATACGAGTATCACATTCAAACCACTACATCCTGCTGGGTCTTGCTCCTTAGTACTGTAACATGGGAACAAAAATCTGTCCCTGTGGATTAATCCACTCTTTAACTGATTAATCTGCCTATTTATTTATGTATTGTTTATTTATTTGCAGTATTTATATTCCATCTTTCTCACCCAAAGGGGACTCAGAGTGGATCACAATACACATACACGGCAAACATTCAATGCCATTTTTAGACATACAGGACAGACAGAGGTATTTTGGCATTTTCCAACTTTGGTGCCTAGAGGTTATACTTGATTCCGGCCATGGGGGGGGGGGTGCTGTTGCTTCATCCACTATGACACCAAGCTGTTTTGAAAGTAGCATTTCCTTCTTGTTCTTTGATCGACAGCATTTTTTATGATGTCATAAAATATCTCCCTGCTTTAAGCAGTCCTAATTTCTCTATTCGCAGCTCAGCTGCTTTCGAACTGCTTAGGTAGACAGTAAGCTAGGCATAACAGTGGTGTGCTCAATCTGACTCAGGCTTCGAACTTGCCGGTCGGCAGTGATCTATTGTTGCTGGTGATTAACCAGCTGTGTTACAGCCTGAAAGCTATTAAAGCTTTCAATCTTCCTTTTACCATATTGCATAGGTTTTCAAAAGTATTGCCAACACAATGACTGAAGAAACCACTCCTGGTCAATGTTGGTTCTTACTGAATGGAACAACATGCAGTGTCCTATTCTGGACTGGATATCTTCAGGGCCAGCATTACAGGAATCCTCTCGCAAGAGCCTCCACATCCGACATCGACAGTCAAAAGCAAAGAGGCCACTAAACTGTGGCTCGCTAGCCCTGCTGTCATCCACGCTGCCGTTGCAGGTCAAAATCCGGCCACCAAAGGTGTAGATCATATGCTTCTCTGAATCCATGCACATCTGTAATGAAGAAGACATCTTTTTGGAAAACTATCTAACATTAGAATAAGAACATTTAGATTTACCATACTATGGCACAAACCTTCAGAAACACTGTCCACTCCCTCAGATGCAGGCTGCATCCATGAAGGTTTAAGACACAACAAACTAATCTTTATGGTGTCTCAAAACTTTTAATTGCAAGAGAGTAACATACCTGTATAAATGTGTGTGTGTCTGTATGTTTGTGTCCCCAAGTCAACTGTCAAATTATGGCACATCCATGAATTTCATAGGGTTATCTTAGTCAAGGAATCCTCAGAGGTGGTTTTTAGACCTACTTAACACCTCTAGTAATTAATATCTCTTAACTGATCTATCTCTACCCAAAGTCTCTCATGATGACTTTCCCTCAACATACATCAGTGGTTCCCGACCTTTGGTCCTCCAAGTGTTTTGGATTTCAGTTCCCACAATTCCTAACAGCTTGCAAGGTGGCTGGGATATCTGGGAGTTGAATTCCAAAACACCTGAAGGACCAAAGGTTGGGAACCACTGACCATGATGCAGCTCTCTTGCTTTTCTGTGTGACTCCATCAGACACAAATTTTCTCATATTTCTTTATCATCATCTGCACTATCTTACCTACTTTATCCTACTAGCATCTTCTATTAGGGACCTTAAAAAAAACAACAAACGGCTATTTGAGTTTCTCATTGGACTATTTCCTTCTCCAACAAGGGGGTTTATTGTACATCCCTTCACCAAGAGCAAGAAACAATAGGAGTTGAAGTCCAATGGACACTTGGGTGACCACGAATTTTCCATCCTTGAGTTGAGATAAGAAGCAGATGGAAAAGGAGAAGTAAAGGAAGAACAAGGTTGTTCTCCACCAATATCTGGCTCTACTACCACTAGTATGGGGGTCATGAGGGAAGCCTTCCCACAGGGCGGTAACACATATGTGTGTCCCCTGGGCAATACCTTTGTAGACAGATGATTCTCTCACACCAGAAGCAACTTGCAGTATGCAAATCACTAGTATGCTGCTCCCAAACATTGTGATTTTCCTGCATAGCAGAGGCTTGGACTAGATAGCCCATGTGGTCTCTTCCAATTCTATTATTCTATGATACTTGACGCAAAACAGATTGCCTAACTCTGCTGTAATGTGGCAAATGGCAGATTTTCTAAAATAGCAGAATACTCTTCCCTGTTTTTTCCTTGCCTCACCGCCTTCCCCTATCCAGACTGTAATTCCTCAAAGCTGGATCTCACAACCTCAGAGGATGCCTGCCATAGATGTGGGTGAAACATCAGGAGAGAATGCTTCTCTCCTGACCATACAGCCCAGAAAACTCACAGCAACTGAGTGATTCCAGTCATGAAAGCCTTCGACAACAGAATCTCTGTTCTTTCTAAAGTGTCATATAGATGTGGGCATGAAAAACTAGTAATAATGATAATCACCACAAGAATTAGAGGGCATTGTTGTTCACAGGCTGCAGATACTGACCTGATGGTCAAACACTAACTTGGGGCCTCCATCCGCTGCAGTGTCCTCACTTAGCAGCATCCATGTGTTTGTGTCGATATCATAGCGATAGAAGTCACTTTTCAGAGACTTGCTGTTCCTCACAGAAGAATCCAGGTAACGACCGAGTGTGTAGATTTGTCTTCGCTGGATGTCAATGCACATCTTGTGACACGACCGCGCACTGGGTCCATTCTGGTGAACACAGGAAAGAGAATGCAAGCAATACCTTTAGGCAGTTCACCAGATAAAAGTAAACCCAAATCTGGATTTCCCTATGGTAGGGCTAGGATTGTAGATCTAGATTCAAGCATGGAACGCATATATGAAACTCACCTTAGACCAGAAACAGATAAATTGCAGCCCTATAGACTTTGCTGGATTGCAACTCTCACCAGAGAAAGACAGCAAAGCCAATGGCAAAAGACTTTGGGTTTGAAGTCCAACAATTCCTGAAAGGTTGCATTTTGCCTAGCGCTGCTTTAATCAAACAGTTGAGTCTATAGTTGGTATTTTGAGAATACTACGAAGATAGGTGAAACATTGCAATAAAAATAAAGCCAAAATAAATTCTTCTCCTCATCCTATCAGAAATATTTTAAACCAATGCTCTCTGACAGAATGGCAAAAATCCATGGACCTCTTTAACATGAGGATAAAACTTCCTATATCCCCTGATACGCTACACAAGACTGGATACCAGGAAATCGGAATTACAGCGTTGAGTCAAAGATTACAGGAATACAGCTGCTTTGAAGGACAGTGGGCTTTGGCAGGGCATAAGGTCTGAGTCACAAAAACAGTGACACTAAACACGGAAAGATTCACCAGAAGCGGGAAGACAAACCCTTAACATGAGATGTTTTCAGTCACGCTTGGTATGTCTTCTAATACCCACAGAAATTTTTACAAGAAACACGCTGGACACTGTTGTATGCAATTAAATTAAAGGGCCTACTGCCAACTTTCAGAGCTTGCTTTCTATTCTTCTGAACAGCAGAGTGGCATTTTTCTCAATCAACGTATGAGGAACGGGAAAAGGAGTTCAAATTCTGCTACTCACATGGATATGTCATTATAACAATTATCTGTATACCGCTCTATCTTCCCTAGGGGACATGGGCAGTTTCCACATAAGCAAAGCAATACAGAAACATATAGATTAGCCATTTAAAACATAAACATAAAACTATTAACACAATCGAAGTTGCAAAGCTATTCCATCGTACAAAATTTAGATACCAATGGGCAGAATTTCAAAGTGGGCCTAGACAGTTTGAAAGGATTGGGCCAAGGCTAATGTAGTGAAGTAATAAAGCGCCAGGAAATGGGTAAAGTGCAAAGACAAGGTCTTAACTAATGGCCAGAGTGGGGCCTGGGGCTACTCATTTCCAGGGCCTACTGAGCAACTATAAAAGATATGGGTCAGGACTAGTACCACGAGGTGACAGAGGACCGGGGGAGTGGGTAAAGTACAAGGCAGGGTCCTAACTGATGGCCAGGGTGGGGCCTGGGGCTAATCATTTTCAAAGGCCTGCTGGAACCACCAGGTCCCTGCAGAAGGAGGAGAGTAATAGGGCCTATGTCAGTGTTCCTCAACCTGGGGGTCGGGACCCCTGTGGGGGTTGCGAGGGGGTGTCAGAGGGGTCGCCAAAGACCATCAGAAAACATAGTATTTTCTGTTGGTCATGGGGGTTCTGTGTGGAAAGTTTGGTCCAATTCTATCGTGGGGTTCAGAATGCTATTTCATTGTGGGTGAACTATAAATCCCAACAACTACAACTCCCAAATGGCAAGGTCTATTTTCTCCAAACTCTACCAGTGTTCACATTTGGGCATATTGAGTATTTGTGCCAAGTTTGATCCAGATCCATCATTGCTTGAGTCCACTGTGTTCTCTGGATGTAGGTGAACTACAACTCCAAAAACTCAAGGTCAATGTCCACCAGACCTTCCCAGTATTTTCTCTTGGTCATGGGAATTCTGTGTGCCAAGTTTGATTCAATTCCATCATTGGTGGAGTTCAGAAGGCTCTTTGATTTTAGGTGAACTATAAATCCCAGCAACTCCAGCATTACCAAATGACAAAATCAATCACCCCAACCCCACCAATATTCAAATTTGGGGGTATCAGGTATTTGTGCCAAATTTGCTCCAGTGACTGAAAATACATCCTTCATATCGCATATTTACATTACGATTCATAACAGTACCAAAATTACAGTTATGAAGTAGCAACGAAAATAACGTTATGGTTGGGGGTCACCACAACATGAGGGCCTGTACTAAGGGGTCGTGGCATTAGGAAGGTTGAGAGCCACTGGCCTATGTTATCTCTCTGGGGAGGGTGTTCCAAAGGCGGGGGCCACGACCAAGAAGGGCCTCTCCTTCATCCCCACCAACCATGCTTGGGGTGGTGGCTGGAGTGAGAGGAGGGCCTCCCCGGAGGGTTTAAGAGTCCGCATTGGTTCATAGGGGGAGATGCGATTACGGAGGTAGGTGGGGCCCGAACCGTTTAACACTGTCTTATAAAGAAAGGACATGGCTCTACCACCTGCCAACAAGCTTTTTTATTCAGAAAGGTGTTTTTAACATCACTTTCTGAGTCTCCCCCACTACCTTCCTGACCGCATAAAGAATCCTGTGGGGAAAATTACCCCAACGCAGAGCATCAATTTAATAAGCTTCCAGTACATTTGGTGTTATCTGCTTACATTAAAAAAATCATAAAAATTCAAAATCGCACAAATCTGTAGCCCAGGTTGCCTATTACCACATCATCAATGTATAGACTACAAATGAAAACAGATTGAGATGGGACGGTTACGTAGGCAAAGCAAGCTACTGAGAATTAAGAGAGGAAGGTATTCGTATGCTTAGGGGAAAATCCCAGTAATAGTAAGGGGAAAAAATCCATTGCATATACTTAGTAGCCATATGATACTAAATTTCTCTTGGGAGCTCATAACACAAAACCAAGGGAAGGAGAAAGCGTGGTTCTTGTGCTACCTGCCTCAGAAGGGGAAATGTTTAATTCAGCTGGTAGATTTGGTCAGCAGCAGCAAAACTGTAATGAGCTTTGTTGTTGTTTATGCATTCAGTTGCTACTGACTCTTTGTGACCTCATGGACCAGCCCATGCCAGAGCTCCCTGTCCGTCGTGGCCACCACAGATTCTTCAAGGTCAAGCCAGTCCCTTCAAGGATAACATCCATCCACTTTGCCCTTGGTCGGCCCCTCTTCCTTTTTCCTTTCATTTTCCCCAGCATCATAATCTTCTCCAAAGTTTCCTGTCTTTTCATTATGTAGCCAAAGTACTTCAATCTTTGCCTCTAATATCCTTCCCTCCAGTGAGCAGTTGGACATTATTTCCTGGAGTATGGAGCATGTAATGAGCCTATAAAGCAGTGTTTCTCAACCTTCCTAATGCCACGACCCCTTAATATAGTTCCTCCTGTTGTGGTGACCCCCAACCATAACACTATTTTCATTGCTACTTCACAACTGTAATTTTGCTATTGTTATGAATCATCATATAAATATCTGATATGCAGGATGTATTTGATATAAATATGTGATATGTCCATATTTGAATACAGGTGGGGTTGGGCGGGGGGATAATTGGTTTTGTCATTTGGGAGTTGTAGTTCCTGGGATTTATAGTTCACCTACAATCAGAGAGCATTCTGAACTCTACCAATGATGTAATTGAACCAAACTTGGCACACAGAACTCCCATGACCAAGAGAAAACACTGGAAGAGTTTGGTGGGCATTGACCTTAGGTTTTAGAGTTGTAGTTCACCTAAATCCAGAGAGCACTGTGGACTCAAGCAATGACGGATCTGGACCAAACTTGCCACGGATACTCAGTGTGACCAAATGTGAACACTGGTGGAGTTTGGGGGGAAATAGATAGGCCTTCACATTTCAGTGTTGTATTTGTTGGGATGTATAGTTCACCTACAATCAAAGAGCATTCTGAACCCTACCAACAATAGAATTGGACCAAACTTTCCACATGGAACCCTTATGACCAACAGAAAATACTGTGTCTTCTGATGATCTTTGGTGACCCCTCTGACATCTCGTGACCCCTCAAGAGGTCCCGACCCCCAGGTTGAGAAACACTGCTATAAAGGATCAAATAGCCGGAAGGGCTCTCAAAGGTCATCTAGTCCATCTTCCTACCAAGCAGGAATTCTACTAACATAACTTCTGAGATAAGTGGCCAATGCAACCTTTGTTTAAAAACCTCTAACAAAGAACGGCTTCTCCATAGTTCAAGGTTTTGCACTTATATAAAGATTCTTGCTTGCTTGAGCTCAGCAGGCACAAGGTTTTAAGTTCAAAATCAATGTGACCTTTCCTAAAAGAGTAGCAACCTGTGACTTGTGGGCTTCAAGGTCCATTGTGTCAATGGAGTACCAGACCAGAGAAGCCTTTGGTCTGATCCAGCAAGACACTTGTGATCTGGAGTGAAGTTACTATCAAAGTGGACAACTTAGCACAGACCAACTTGACAGAGTTCACAAAAATAATCCTAGACACACAAAACAAAATTATATATGAAGGGCCTATGTGAAGCATACCCAAAATAACAAATACTCAAAATTTCAAATCCAGCTTTGAAATGTAAGGGTCCAAAAATGTCCTTTCTGATAACAATATAAAAGCCACTGTGAGTCCTGAAGGATCTTAAAGACACACAAAATTAACATGGATAAGTTTCCATGAAATATTCCACAAAGGTTTACATCACAAGAAATCTGACTGGCTTTAAGGTGCTTATGAACAGGAAATACTCACACAGGTAACCTTTATACAAAGAGTGAGATTTTAATTGAAGGACATCTCACTAGAGCTTTGAACTGAATCCTCCACATTCACAAGCATAGATGTAACACTTCCTTGGATCAAAACTGTCAATAATCATGATGCAATTTGTTGGCAGATTCCCTGGGTCACAGGAATACTGAAACTATTCATTACACAACTTCATATTTTGAAAGAAACCCCATTTATATCTCGCCTTTCAGTCCAAGAAGGGTTGTCTTGACCTCTTGCTCTTACAAAAACAACACTACCATTGTTGACATCTTTTTTCAAAAAGCATAGCAATATTCAGCAGAAATACAACCAGTATATAAAATAATAAACCAGTGTCAACACAGGATCAATTCCTACTATGGGTGAG